GGCTTTAGTTGTTTTCATAGTTAATAAAACTTGAGACTTTTCTCATCTTCTTGATGGATTCCAGTGTTGATGATTATTGAGGCTATAGTTTGATTGTCACCTTGTGTCAACTCTCCACATTAAGATTATTTTATATTTTTTCTCTAATGTGTTGACGAGTTAATTAGTTTGGATATTGTAAAATGAATATTTAATTAAAAAATTTGACTTTCAATTTTTAGTATAAATTTTGTGCACCAAAAAAATTTATGTCAATAGCATGCTTGGTGTAGTGGTCATGGTTGAGGTTTCATTTTTGTCTTTAGGTTCTTTAGTTTGTTTTTAAAATCAAAAGACTCAAAATCTTTTTTATTTGGGTTAATTATTGCAATGGTCTTTGAACCATACATGAATTTGAAATTGTAGGGGTCTTTTTCTTCCGGCAGCTACTACGGGCCTGGGCTGCCGTAAATAGCAAAATGGATGAAATTGCCCCTTGAGCCTGAGTTCAGAGATCAAGCCCCAAGAATGCTTCGAAAGGACAATAAGGCCTTAGAAAACACTTTGGTTACCTTCACCAACAAAAATAACAACAGCTTACAAATAAATTCTTGGCTTAGCATGAGAAGCTTGTGGCATGGGAGCAAAATTGACATGAGTTTAGCACCGAAGAGAAAACTGAGTGTTCTTGGGAGAAAAAGGGGTATTAAGGTAGGAGATGGAGAGTTTGCAAAGAGCGGCTGCCTCTGTGAAGAATTCCTATTTTCATCCCTCTCCTTTTTCTTCTTTTCTCCTCTTTCCATGGCCAGATCTGATGAAGAAAAGAAATGGCTATGTATGCTGGTTCGAAAAGTGGCATCCTTCCCTGCGCACCAATATCCCTTGGTCCTTTGGATGTTGTAGCTTGGAACTTGTTCCTTCCTGCGCTGAAGCCTCTCAGTAGCTCTGCGCACGTGGTCCTCCCAATTTCCTTCGTGGCTTTCTGCTTCAGCCAAGTGCTGGAGCTTTGCAGCTCTTCTATTGTAATTGTATGGGCCAAGTTGGTTTATTGAGTAAGTGGGCTATCTCTTTCAAGCATTGGGCTTTTTATGGTTGAGTCAATAGGCTATTTTGGTTAGGATATTTTGGTTGGGATATTTTGGTTGGGATATTTTCTCTTTGTGCTCACCCACATGTTTGGGCCAAAGAAATGGGCCTGAGTTCCGAGGCTCCCAAGCAACCCCGGGACTTCCATTTCTTGGCCCATCAATGGGCCTCATGTCAACTTATTACCATCCATACCACAACCCACTCAAGCAAGCCCAAGGCATCTTGCGTGGTTTGGGCCCACTTAAGCTTGTAGCATGGCCTGTTGCTTATTTGCTTGGCGTGGCATGTGTGCAAGCGCATATGACGAACTTTCACGTGCCCAAATTGAGTTTCTTCTCGGTAAGGTATTGCATTGGGCCGAGAATTTATTTGGGCCGAACCATGACTTTTTTGGGCCTCAACAGAAATCAAGCACTTAAAAGATAGGGGTGGGCATAAGAATTGGAAAATCGAAATATCAAACTGGACCGAATAGAAAAAATTGGGGAAAAAATTGATTGACTAAAAAAGTCAACAAACCGGTACCGAATCGGATTGGACCGGTTAAGTTCTAGTTTTGGTTTCACACCTTACCAAATCACACCGAATCAGACCAGTTGTGTATTATTTTATATTTTTTTACAAAATTATTTAAATCAAATGCTACATTTTTAATCTCATAACTAATATTTTCCCAACCCCAACAAAACATCTCTCTTTTCTAGGCCCAATATCTCTCTTTTTATGAAATTAAATCATTTGTTAATTTTCAAGCCCCAAAAATAAAATTTTAGTTGGAATTTATATAAAAAATTAATTTGAAAAAATAATAATAATAATCCGATTCAAAACCGAAAAAATCGAAAACCAGACCAAAACCAATTCAAATTGGATCGGCCGATTTCATAATTTTTTTACTAAAATTGGACCGAATTGGACCGGTTAAATAATAACGATTTCGATTCCAAATTGAAGTAGAAATTGAACCGAACCGGATTGAGCCCACCCTTACTTAAAGACAAAACAATTAAATTTTTTTACAACCAATAAATCAGCACTTAATAAAAGGCAAGCTCTTTAGTGTGTTATTAAAATTCATCTCCCTTCCCCTCCCCTTTTTGGTAGAATTTTGGTTTCTTCATTCGATTTGTTCATTTTGTACTTATACCTAAAACTAGGTATCTCAAAATTATTTCCAACAACGCTTTTTTAGATAACTATGCACAAAACACCAACTTGAAATTTTCCTTTTTTATTTCCTAAAAAGAAAAAAAACCCATCATTTCAAGTTTACAAAAAGTTTAAGAGGGACAAAGTTTTGATGAGTTGAAAACTGAGGCACGCTTGGCGACATTAGATCTCACAAGCTTTGTACATGGCCATGCCCATACACAGACCAAAAAAAATCACCCTCCAGTTGCTCTTCCTCCTCGTCCTCCTCGTCCTCTTGCCCGTCCTCCTCGTCCTCTTGACGCTCCTCGTCCTCCCCTCCCCTGTTATCACAGTCTTTGAATCGTTCTTATACCAATCAATACTCCGCCAACTATCCTCATCATCAAAACAGGCCTGCAATTACAAAGCAAGTTTTTTTATTTTAAAAAAAAAATTGAAAGCAGATTAATTATCTTAGAATATTAAAGCACACTCTCCAAGTATATTAATTAAGCACCTGATAATTGGTGACGCAGATAATCTTGGTCTCATGCAAATTATCTCCCTTCTGAAGAAAAAAATAAAATAAAAGTGATTTTCTTGAGCAACAAATCCCATATATATACATATAAAATATATATTATAAATAATGCATATACAGATTTTTTTTTTTGTTTTTGGTCAAGAATGTATATAAAGAGAATAGTAAACTCACTGCGGGAGTTGAAAGGCTCTTTTCACTCGACATTCTTTCCATGGATATATCAGCTCTCAACGTATTTGAATTTGGTGTTCCAACAAACAAAGCATGGATTGCTTATTATATTGTTCAAAACATATAAACAAGAGTAGGGAGATGAAAGCAAAGAAGCTAAAAAGGAAAGATATCTCACGGATTGGATGCTCTCCTATTTACTAAGTGGCACATTGCAGTAAAAGGAAACTGTATTTATTCGGTGAAATCTCCGTTCATTGAATGTCAGCCAAAACCTGGCTCTTAATTTTAATTCATGTTAGCCATTGTTGTTTGATTTCGTACCAGTGAACCCTAATTTTGACATACTTATGCTGAAATAACTTATGCTCACACACAAGGGTTCCTGTTAGAAATATACCAAAAATTTTATTGACAATATTCAAATGTGCTTCCTAGAAAAGCACTTGGCAACGCTTCTCGAGAAAAACACTTATAAATTGCTTATCCAAAAAGTGCTTCTCCTGAAAAGCACCAAAAATGTTTCTCCATACAGCACAATTACATCTAGAATACATCGAACTTTTAGAATATGCTCACAAGTGCAAGCCCTAATTTTAAAACTTTAAGACAAAACAAAACTGTTTGGACAAAATAATGAGATCGCTCAAACAATAGTGTAGTAACACCTAATTGTCACTGAACATTTGTAGACAACCCCATCACACTATACTTTTGGACTATCATGACACAATTGTTCGTGCGACGGTGTAGTAATACCTAAATGTCACTAGATATTAGTTTTATTAAAAATAGTCGATATTAAAAACGATCATTCAATCCAATATTAGATGAGATTAGATTGAATCATAACCTCTTGTTGCACTGGATTATAAAATGTATCCAACTTACATTAGATCCGCTGAAAATTAGCTGAGAATTGATCGAACTGGTGAACAACCCTAATCTTCTGGCTAAGGAACCCTACTCCAAAACGAGATTTCCTTCTTTGGCAACAAAAGAAAAAACCAATGAAAGCCCTAATATCATAGTACTCTCTTTCCACCGGTAGTTCGACCAGATAAATTGCATTTTCCAATACAGAAAACGAGAAAATGTTCTTTTTTGAGGTGAGACAGTAGAAACAACAGTATTCCGAAATCCACCAAAATAGAGATAGAGAAAATGCTCTAATTGAATGAAAAATATGTTAGAGTTATCGATTACGGTTTCATAAGTTTGTTTAAATAAAAATATAAAACCCTAAAAGCCTAAGAATCTTAAAAGGAAGCAAATTACCTAAAAGGTAAATTAATTTCAATTGAAGCAAAAATGGAATAAAATATCACCATTTCGGGAATCCCAACTATTCACGAATTTTCCTTTTCTAGCGTTATATTTGTTATGCTTGAGCGAAATTTTCGCTTGAAAAGAGAAATCTTACCATTGTTTCTTCATTTGGGATAAGATTCTGGATATGTCAATAATCATTTTTATGGAGAATCACTTGTTCAAATAATATAATCACTTTAAGTGATTTTAAGGAAGCACAAGGGAGGTGCATCTTCCCATAATCACTTAAAATCACCAAAAGTGATTATATGAAGAAGCATATAGGAGGTGCTTCTCCCCAAAAGTGATTCTGACCTATTTAGAATCACTCTCCTTTCTATTATCTGGAACACCAAACAAAGAATTATTGAAAGTGACAAAAAAGAAAAAGACAAAAGACAAAAAAATATGAGGAGGAAAAGTAATTGTTTGACAAAAGTCAGAATTTCTAAATTGACATAAACCAATTCTCGTATTTGGATATAAAAAACAAAGAAATTTAGAAATTTCACATGGGAAAAAAACATGGAATTTAGAAATCTCAACTTTAAATTCTATCTTATTAATCATCATTTCTAAAATTTCAAGACACACCACCACATTTCCTTGACAATGACCACCACCAAGGTCTAAAATATTGATGGTATCGGAAATATCAGTAGTCTAAACATATGGAAATTTCGATGGAAATATCGGGATATTATCGATATTGATAAAATTGAATAAAAACCACGGAAATGGTAAGAAAAACTTGAAATTTTTTATTGAAACTTTGGAGGATGTTTATTTAATCAATTATCTATTAGTTTATCACAAAAAATTGGATGGAAGTGCATTGCATGATGGGTTTAATTGATTTAAGTTGATTATATAGTGAGATGACAAACATTGTGAGTGTATAAAATATGTAGTATTTAATGAAAGAAGATTAAACACACCATAATAATTTATATATAATGATTTACTAATATTTTACACTTTATACATTGCATGGTAAGATACATGAGTGACTTAGTACCACATAGAGTTCCCTTTTGCGTACTATCTCAAAAACACAAGCAACATGGTGGTTAAGGCGTTGAAGGAGTGAAATGGCAAGGGTTCGAATCCTCTTTGCATGTGTGTTTTGTGTTTTTTTTTTCCTTTTTTCCTTTACATTGATATTTTTGATATTATAGCGATATTTTGACAAAATATTGTTAAAGTGTGAGCAAAATTATCGTCGATATTATCGATATTTATATGATATGTATATGGATACGTTCCGAAATATCCTTGACCCGAAAAAAGGTAATATTCTCGATATTTTGTTGATATTATCGACATTTTAGACTATGACCACTGCCATTCCACCAATACCACCACTTTTATTTAAACAGTTTTCATAATTAATTGTTGTACCGCATTAATTACTGTGATAAAATAATATAATTATTTACTGATTTTTCCTAACACACCTCACATTTGCCCGGAATGTGCTAATTTTGTTGAAAAATAATTGGCAAAATGAAGTCATTGTACCCGACTTGCACCAACTAGTAAACTACAGACTTACTGGCAAAGAGTCGTAACCACATGAAACATAGTGGAATGGTAAAGACACTGGGGAAACATTCTTATTCTATTTACCTTTTATAGCAAGTATTATGGAATCTCTCACCTAAAGAAATGAATCAACTCGTTATTTTCCGACTCTGATTGGCAGAATTTCCACTTTCAATAAGTCATAAGTCACAACAATCATTTTATGAAAAAGATACAAGCTACAATCTAAACTACTCAAAATTAATCTAATCTACGGGGAAGGGGACTCGAACTTGAGTGCAAGAGGGTGAGCTCACAATAATCTTTATTAATTACACAAAAATTGAACTTCTTAAGGAGCATTACTGGTTTGTGATCCATTTTTGTTTTCAAGATGCAGATATCATCATGGCTACAACCATTGAAACTAAATAGTCACCTTTTCTGCGACTGAGTTTCAAACATGCAGTTGACAGATCCAACCAAGGATGGGCTGATGCGAATGACCCAAAATAAAACCAATGGATGAAAACTATATCAGTTTTCCCAATAATTTTATCACTGTGATCCTTACAGTCTATGAAAGATATATTCATACTTTAACTTTTGAAGTTCTTCTTTTCGCGTTAACAAATACATGGAAGGCCAAAAGGAGTAAAACAAGAGTCGCGCCTAATGAGAGGACTTTTATGCCTGTGCCATATGAGCTCTTCAGCATCCTCCGCCAAATTTCCTGCAATTTAGATCACATTAATCAATGGAACTATGTTCGTTCAATTAATTTGCTATAGTTAAATGTCTTTGTGCACCTCTCCCTTCAACAAGTAAAATTCCAAAACTTGCGTGTTATCGAAGCATGTAAACTGTTAGGTATAGAAATTGATGACACAGAAACATGAATTTCGAGGTTTCCTGAAATGAGCTAAAAAGGATGAAGCATATATGTTTTGGAATGTCATGTGACCACTGACCACAGGGTACCAAAACTATTGAAAGCTTATTTTGTGAAAAGGCAATAGAATAGTATCAGTTTTATTATTAAGTGCAGAATATGTAAAGTAATTAAGTAAATATGTTAAAGAACTTAATCATCATCTTCTATATTCAATGCCTATCACCAAACCTCAAGCTGATAAATAGAAGCTAGCAAAGGACTTTCAAATATGCATAAAAGAACATAAACATTAGATACTAGTAAGAGGTTATCAGTGCATTCTGCATGTAGATGACACAGGATAAAGCTTGTAATTGTAATTATGCAATGAACCCAAGCTGCTCTTTAGATGGACAAACCATCAGGATATGATTTGGACAATGAAAACAACCATGATGGTTGTACAAAACATGAACACCTACATAGGTCGAGCAATCTGAACACTCACAAATGTTAATGCCTCAAGAGGATTTCTGTATTTTAGACCACATTAACAATTTCCAACAACAATTACTATTTCAGTTCCAAAGCTCCATTATAACAGAATTTACAAGTTGTCATTGGACGTAATTTGGAACCTGGAAAACATCTTAACACTTTCTAAACATGAACGCCTACAAAAGGCTTCAATTTCCTAAAACATATAATGTATCTCTTTCCACCGCAATACATTTTCAGTTCCAAAACTCAATTTTGGCAAAACCAAAAAGGCATGGTTGAATGTAAATTTGTCAATTGGAAGACAAGCAGACCCCATAATGATAGTCCAGCACAGCCAACCGTATATGTATGTATTAACATAGAGAATTATTAGCCTTGAACAAAGAGACTTACTGTGATGCCAAAATTACGCTTATGTTGCTTTGCAAAGATATTCTGCGCATGTTTATAAAGCTCCAAATCAAGGTGGTTAAGTTGCCTTATCTGCTGGAGGACCGCTTCAGGAACCTGAAGTCGTGCCTGTCATACTTAAAAGGTCAAAATGTCATCCAAAGAAAGGGGGACCATAAAGCCCAATTTAATAATTTATGCAAGCCAAGAAAGGTGAGTTATAGCAACTAAACACCGATACGGCAAGTTCAAGTGCTTAGGAGGCAGTTCATGAAGTAACATGCAAACCAGGGGAATAGGCTTTACAATATTATATTCTATAAATCAGAGCTGTTCAGAATATGTCCTAAAAAGTTGATGCATCTAACCCAGAAGAGGACCAGTACAAGGAGGAGCAGATGATATGCACACACGTTAATGAATGATGTAAAACATCATCTAGAGTACCTCCTTTGTAAAGTTTGCCGGGGAGATTCTCTTCAAAGAAGCGTTGTGCCGGAGTGTTTGGGACTTCCGTAAATTAGAAATGCAGTCTTCATAAGATTCCATAAGTTCTTCCACAGTCATCTAACAAGGTGTACAGAGGATCAAAGTCAACAAAGTAGCAGGATCAACTATTGTTATCAATATTGAAAATGACTTACATTTCCTTTCGCTGGTTCAACAGTTTCAGGAGAAGCAAACTCACTTTCCTTCCCATTTGGGGTTCTGTTCTGTCATATGCAGCAAAATTGCAGTAAGAAATCTGGCAAAATCACTATCCAAACATGGAGCATTTCACATACTAATGATGGCTTTTGCTAATTACCCGAAGATCATTATTATCCGGCTTGGAATCTGAATCTGAGTAGTTCTGTTCTGTAGCACAATTAGAAGAATAAGATAAACACCAAATTCATTGCCTAAATAAACTCTATATGGTAACTATAGTAAAAATGAAAATTCCACATGTTACCCAAAGTACCATGCAACATAAAATTTTGTAATCCTAATAAATTCAGCTTTAAGGCATCACACAATTCAAAGTTGAACTGCACGTTCTCAACTTTGTTGTGCTCTTAACACTGAACAAAATGAACAACTCCATTTGATTATTTTTGCAGTACTACACCAGAACTAGGTTAGACAACAGAATGTTAAGTAGATGTCACACTGACCGGATTTGCTGTCAGCAGCACTCTCCTCACTAGAATTTGATCCTCCCAGCTGTGAAATCACCTGGGCACCAACTACATTTGCAAACATTGTTGCAGATTCTCTGTGCTCCTCAGTGAGACCGACATATAACATATCATCCAACTTCTTCTGCAAAATTTACAAACAACCATAAGGAAATGAGGATTACTAGAGAAACAATATTTGTAACCAAATCATGTGGACAACTTTCAAAAGTTGATTTGTATTACCTTTGCGACTTGTAGGACATGGTCACCAAGAAGTTTATACTTCTGTACACAATGGCGCACTTCATGTGCTTCTGATAGATAGGAGTTGTTTGTCAATCCTGCAACCTTTTGAACCAAACAGTCAATCAGATAATAAAATAAATATATTTATATAAATTTTGACAGCGATGCTTAAAAAAAAGAAGAAGAGAACTTTGTAACTGCATCGAATTCTGACCACTTTTTTTTTTTTTGGGGGGGGGGTCCACATGTGTTAGGTTATTAAAGAAATCCCAAAACGAAGGAGCCTACGATGCAAAAAATAAGCTATAACCTGCAAAAAGCATCTGCTTGCCGCTGCTTCAAGAAGCTACTAAAGCATTTCAAAAGTTTAACAACCAAAATTTCAACCAAACATTGCTGAAGTTCCGACAACAGAGTGGAAGGACTAGTTTCAGTGTTGGTACCACCAAAAAAGGGAAATACTGGCTGATATTTAGGCATATCACCCAATATTTTAAACATTTGATCAAAAACTAGAAGATCATTCAATCAGTTAACATGGTAGAAGAAATTAAACCAAACACAATAATCTCAATATTAACTAAAATTAGAGATCCATTTAGTATCTAAGCAAAGCTGTCTAGCGCTTTCCTAGGTCATGGGTGGAGCCACCAGAAATTTAATTAAAAATAAAAGAAGCATTAAAGATTCCCATGATGCTATTAAACCATATGAGGATAAACAACCTGAAATGTTGCTCCATTGTGAACAACTTCTTGAGCTATAGGGTGATTGATGAACTTGTGTAATGGCATCACAATTTCTTCCATGTTGTATGGGTCCTTGCTCTCAAAGTTATTTGAGCCCCTAAGCTTTCGACCATCTCTCTGTACAGCAAAATCAATAAAAATAATGTCCCCAGGGAGAAATACTGCACTTCAACAGAAATTTACTAAAAAGACATGAGAGCTGTAGAAACCAAAAGGTTCATATGGGTCCAAGCAGCACAGAAAAAAGCATACCCGAGTAAAAAGGTCTTCCCTCATCCATGGAACCAAATATTTCCATGGCCAAATATCCAGTGTGCTTACTCCTTTAGTCTTTGCCCGTATACGTCTTGTCATTTGTGTTGCAGAAGTTAAGTTAGGATGCACCAAAAACCTTGCAGCTACCTCTACCGAAAATTCGTAAGTACTAAAAACACGGTCAACCGGATTCCTAAGTATTGTCACTACTGATGTTCTCTCCCTGGGAAGTTTGGACATCATACTATAATCATCATGAGTAACCAACAATCTGCACTGCTGTTTTCTGCAAAGGTACAGAATTAACATCCATTAATGATGCAGACATGTGAAAAGTTAGGAAAGAATAAGGTAAATATGAGGATGTAGTTCTGTAAGACATCCAACTTAGTTGCTGATGTCAACCTTGGCTTTATTTTAAGATGCTACCCTAGCAGAAGCACCTATGAAAACCTTGTGAAACAAGTTTCTAAGAAAATCCACGCCTCATGATTTGTCTCCTTTTAATTGTATGTTTTCTCCCATTTATGAGTCAATAAGTAGAAATATCACAGTCAATATAGAAAATAACAGCTTTAACAAAAAACCCTTCCCCTCTGCAAGCCAATGGAGCTACCGACTTCCACCATATCTGTCAAGTTGTAATTTGGAAATAAAAACACATTCCTGCAAAATCTCTAATCTACATACAGCTCAATGTAATCGAGTTTACTGATTGTCTTGCAACAAAATGATTTGAATGACGTGGTACTCAAGTATTGATAAATTTACGAAACTGAATATGTCAAGAAACAAAATTATACAAGAGAAAACAAGATATTACCTAGGATCAAATCGAAGCTTATCATACGATCGAGGGCATTCCAGAGAGCTATAGTACAACTTTCTCAAGAAACTGTAAGTATAAACATTGCCAGAAGTATGAATCAATATGGTTGTCAAATCATGGGGTTACAATCTTTTGGTAATAAAATTGGACCTATTGAAATTACCAGTGGAAATATGTACGCCCTCCTGTTCTGGGGACGTGAAGGAAAAATAGCAAATCCCGCAGAGTGTGTTTGTCTTTAACTTCTTGTTGAAGTGAAGAAAATGCCCATTTTTTGACTGCTCTTTCACAATGCTCAAAATCATTCTTAATAGGAGAGGCATTCACAGCTGTGGATGAGTTATGAGAACCCCAAGAATAGCAGCCTGACCAAAATAATTATCCAAGTAATTGAAGGGGTTCGAAATGAAAGAAAATTGAAAGAAGTAACTAAGAAGGGTTTAAGCAAAACAGAAAGGTCCCCCAGTTTGTTTGGCACTCGAATGGGTTCACATAGCATGAGGTTCATCTCCACACAATCCCACCTAAACTGCCACAACATATATGCATACCTACATATATGAAGACTACCTATGTACAATATTACAAAGAAAAAAAGAGGTAACTTGAAAAATACAATAGCTTGCAGACCAAAAAGAAAAATTAAGAAATGATAAGAACAGATTAAGGGATAAGCATAAAGAGACTAAATTGAGTTTGATACGTACCCAATCCGAGAAGCAACAGCAGGATAGAGAATTTTAGAGTAGGATCCATACACCTTATTCCTACTCCACACACTGTAACAAAGTAACAATAAGACAAAGTTGGAAGCTTTCTCAAGTGTTGAGGAAAACAAAAAACATATAAAATGACAAAATAAGTAGCTATTCGGCACAACATGAATGAAAATGAGCACACCTTAAAAGTTAAAACTAATTTTATTTGCTTGCTTGTGAAAATTTTCCCACAAATTTCTTTCCTTTTCCTTTCAACCAAACAGGATTAAAAGCCAAACCCCTAAAATAGGAAACAGAGGACCAGACATTTTGGACACTACAAGCTGAGATATGGAAATAGGCAAACTTGCAAGAACCCAGAAAACCCTAACGAGCGGAACGACAAGAAGAAAGCGAGAAATTCAAAGAAGACAGGAAGAAAAGAAAGGGAAATGGAACAAAATTCGATGGTTTGGTTCACCTGTATCGAAATTGGGGGTCTCGTGCTCATAAACGGTGTTGGGACTCTAGCAGACAGCGGTGAGGCCGATCAACGAGGATTGAGGCCCCACCTTTCAGAACCTTCCAGAGATCCTGAAAAGGTCGCTCGGTCCCCTGGTTTCAAATTTTCTCAGCAACCAAACAGAAACAGCAATTTTCACAGGAAAATTTCATTTTTATTTTTATTTTTAAAAACTCTGCAATTTTGTGTTTGATGTTGATTGGTTGAGGATCAGTGGGTCTTTAAAAGTCTCTGCATGTATTTGTGCGCGCGCCACTCCAAATGGAAGGTTGTTATTGTATGGAAAAATAATGAAGGGAAGTTTGTCCGAAAGCTATCCGTTTTACAGGGGCAAAATCGTCATAAAAAAAAAATAGGATTTTCAGTTGAATCATGTCTGTTTTCTGTTTTGTTGCTTGTGTGTGTGTTTTGTTGTTGTTGTTGTTGTTGTTTATTTTGGTTATGTAATGAAAGACAATTTTAAAAAATAGAGGATAAATTCAATAAATGATGGATTGAATTATAAAAACTGTCACGATGTCATGATGATTTTTTTGGAACATAAACAACAACCACCTTCTAAAAAAGAAATTAAAACAAATATAATATTTTTTGTCTATCTAGTTTTGCAGTCCCTTACAAATGATTAAGGAATTGCATTTTCATGCTATATATAGAGGGAATTTCATATACTTTTTTTCCCCATTTGGGAAATCATTTGACTCACTTTTTTGTTTGGGACCAACTTTATCATGTTCTAAAATTCAAATGCCACTTTTAGTTAATAATTTTCATAAAAATTTTATAGGAAAATTGAACAAATTTTTAATTCATAATATTGTGCATACCAAATATGGGAATAAGAAAAAAATGGTATTTCTTTGTCCCTATTCCTTTACCTTAATTTATATTTTTTCTAAAAACACATTCTTAAAAATGTGAAGGTTTTTAATTTTAACCAGACAGAATTGACCGTATTATATTTGAACGGAATCGTCATGTCATAGAAGGACAAAATGACAATAGCATCCCTTAGAAGGCAGGTTGGGCAAAGCTGTTGGTTTTTGGACAGAACGTTGGGGGCAGGCTGTTTGGGGTTTGGGTGGACTATTTTTATATTGCTCTAGTGCGACACAGGGTGGGTGTCCCTCTCATTCTTGGACAACGGTGGATTGTGGAATCGTGGACTGTGGAGCTCTTATTATTATAAATAAATATTGTATTTGCTTTTTTCATGGGGCCAAAGTAGAAATGGAATCCCACCGGCCACCACCACCCTCTCTACGAGAGAAAACTTGTATATTACAAGGACAGCCGTCAAGTGTGATACTCTTCAATGTCGTTGCCTCTTTGGTGGAACCCTCTGCCTATCCACTTGCTGTTTTTGCCACATGCTAATGCTTCTTCCACCATTTTTCTTTCATTTTCTTTCTGCTAGTGCCCCATCCTAGACTGGTCCCATTTCTAATATTGTAAAGGTTAAAATAGAAATGGACACCCCATGAGCTTGATCATTATTGCAGCACTTTATTGACAATAACCATTAGATATAATAAAAATATATGGGTCATAGATGTGAATCTTCATATTAGCTGAATGATTTATCTGAGTAATAACTTCGCTTAAGTTTAATGAAATAATTATGTTATTAATACGAAGATCCACATAACGGGTTATATATGACACGTATGGCACACTCACCATAGAATTTTGCATATATAGGTTTATATGTTTCAATAATTTTAAAAGACTACTATTGAATCACCGGCCCATACCTATATGTACTGATCATGGGCAGAAACTGAGTTATATGATTTGCCAGATTTAAGGCCCAACCCAACTAAAAATGATTTGAAGTATAGCAGCAAAAAATAAGTTACTGCTTGTCATTAAAATATCAATTGAGCAAGTAAAAGAATTTGATAATGAAAGCAAACGAAACTAAAGTGAAGATTAACACTAATGAGAAAGAAAAAAAAACCATCTTTACAAAGGTGGAAATCAATCTTTTCAGAATTTGACAATTGTTTTCAAGCACAAGGAAAAAATTGAAATTAATGATTAAATTAAAAACAAAAAAACATTGGAGCACCTTGTAGTGTTGAAACCATCACAAGATGTTCCATTAAAAAACTATGTAACGGTTAGGTTGCACGTGACCTGGCCAAACTATCCATGAATCTTTTCGTGGAAAGCAATCACTAGGTCAATACCTGTGTTTGGTTAGTAAGTTCAGGCTTGGGAAATGATTTCCTGTATCATGGGAAAATATGTGGGAAAATATGGGGAAAATTAAACTTTCCATCCACCTTGGGTTTCATTTTCCTCCAAGGCAAGCATTATTATAACTTTTTATAACCAATTTACCACTATTAACAATTAAAAATACTAAGGCAAACATATTACACCTTTTAATGCATATTTCTTATTTAGGGATATAATTGGAAAACCAAACAAAATGTGTTTCCATTAGGATTTGAATTGGAAATACATTTTGTTTGGTTTTCAAAATTAATTAGGATTTGGATGGGAAATACAATTTACCACTATAGAATTTGGATTAGTGTCCACAAAAGAGGTTTCTATTGACAGTCCCATGCTCATTGATCTATTTGTAAGTACATTATCAAATAATTTCAGGGATTCTTTTCGGTCGAAAATTTAGAAAATTTATTTTGACGATCGACTTCCCAACACGTACATACATGAGGGGGGAAGGACCCCATGGGAGATCAAAGAAGGGGAGGCTGATTACAAGATGAGATTAGACATGCATGTGGGATGATGAAAGAGGACGTCAAGGTCTGGGTTGAGGAGAAATTGATGTGTTAATGGGTGAATTTGTACATAACGGATTAAGACATAAGCACACACATAACACAAGTGTTTGAGTGGTTCACCCATAATGGGGCTACATCCACTATAGTTTATAGCTTTGTATTTGTATTTGAATATGGAGATTATATTGTACATGAGAGAGATATGGGAAGAGAGGCTTGAGAGCTCTAGTAGAAGAGAAATAGAAATGTTATGAGAGCTTTGGACAGCTCTTGGAGAAGTGAAGAAGTAGTAGCCGATGGTCCCCTTGCTTGGAGGTGGTGAACTCTCTTTTATAGTCCAAGTTGGAGTAGATAAGGTTGATTGATGGATGAGACCTTTGTATGGCTAGCTACTCCTTGTTTGGTGGGATGTGACCTATGACAAGAAGGGTTATCCCTTAATTGGTGGGATTTGCTTAAAGGGGGGAGGTGAGGTCAATAGAAGCCTCCAAGCTCACAATCGAGAAGAGCTTCTTGGCTGGGGACTTTCTAGTAAAACCAGTTTTGATCGAGTCGAGCACATATCTGTTGAGGTGGTAAGGCCAAGCTGATCACATGTGTGGAGATAATAAGGCCGAGCCAAGCCTTAATTGGTGGGATTTGCTTAAGGGGGAAGGTGAGGTCAACAAGGTGCCAATAGAAGCCCCCAAGTTCACAGAGTAGAATAGCTTCTTGGCCGGGGACTTTCTAGTAAAATCAGTTTTGATCGAGCTGAGCACATATCTATTGAGATGGTGAGGCTGAGCCGAGCACACATATTGAGATAATTTTCCCTCTTTAAGCATGACGAGACATATTGGAGATGGTTTGGCCGAGCCGAGCTCACATATGGAGATAATAAGGCTGAACCGAACACATATGGAGATAAAAGGGGTCGAGCCGAACACATATGGAGATAATAAGGCCGAGCCGAGCACATATCACATGATTTTTTGATGAAAGTGCTGTATGATGATTTATGCCATGTCATAATGGCGATGTATGTTGTGTCATTGTTGAGGATAAATGTGAACCTCCTAACACAATTTCACCACCACTAATTAAATAATGGGGTTTTATTATTTTAGGTTCGACCCATTCGAGACACAAGTCTCTTAATTACAATCCCTTACTTCAAGGGAAAACCCTTTGATTCCACCATAACGAAACAGAACGTGTGTGTTTGGTATTGCGGCTGCTCCCAAGTCCAACCTCAGGGTGCCTACGTATACCTCGCGGGAATCAAGCCACACGTAGTTCGAAGAATTGCAATGAATGAATGACTCATTGCAAAAGGGAAAATTTGTACGAATTTGATTGAAAAAAGCGTTTGAGTGAATTTAGCTGAATAAACCAAGGATTCGATTTTGATGTGTGTTTGGGGCGAATTTGGTTAAGAATAACCAGGGATTCTGTTTGGATTTGAGATTTGGGCGGTTGCATCTAGATTGGATCTCTAGATTGCCTACGTACCCTTTTGAAGGGATCAAACCAACGTAGTTCGGACAAGATTGTTTAATTTGCGTGGTTTTGTACCACTTGGGATTGTGGCGTGGTTTTGTACCACTTGGGATTGTGGCGTGGTTTTGTACCACTTGGGATTTGGCGTGGTTTTGTACCACTTGGGATTTGGTGTGGATGCGGTTGCGTCTATTGGTATGCTAGATTGCCTACGTACCCTTGGTGGGATCAAACCGGCGTAGTTCCAAAAAGATTTGGAAATTAATGGGTAAGTGTGGCCCACTAATTAAGAATTTGTGTCTTTGAGACAATATGAAGATTTTCATAAATAAATGACCTATGAAGAAAATTGGAAATTAATGGGTAAGTATGGCCCACTAATTGAGAGTTTGTGTTTTAGAGATTTAAATTTGATCTCGTTGGAATTTTCATGAGTAGATGACCCATGAGAAAAATTGGAAATTAATGGGTAAGTTTGGCCCACTAATTGAGGATTTCTGTTTGAGAGATTTGAATTTAATCTCATTAAAGTTTTCATGAGTAGATGACCCATGAGGGAAATTTGATGGTTTTGTACCATTTTTCTTATTGTCAATATCCAAGAAAAATAATGAGTAATTTTAATTATCCCATTGATTTTTCATAAAATTGACATTCGCATTTGGGATTTGGTGTGGTTTTGTACCACTTGGGTCTTCACTTGGCGATTTGGGAATTAATGGGACCCTTTTCATTTGAGCCCATTAATCCATAATTTGTGAATTTGAGACTTTGTACCAATTATTCACCAACTGGATTTGCTTAATGGGCTAGTCCGTTGGGCTTGAGACTTGTTCTGAACGAGCCCATTGTATTCGAGACCGTCGGGTCTTGGAATGTCAGCTTGAGATTGACTGATCTTGAGATGTGAGACAAGCTTGGTGCGTATGAGACCATTAAGTCTTGGGCCACCAAATCTTAGAATCTCGTATTGGGCCTCTCTAAGTTCCATCACCTTCCCACAACAAAATAATGTGGCTATCTTGAAA